GTAGAAGGTCTGCAACATCCCCCTATCAATCAGTAGAAAGTCTGTAACATCTCCCTATCAATTAGTGGAAGGTCTGTAACATCCCCCTATCAATCAGTAGAAAGTCTGTAACATCCCCCTATCAATCAGTAGAAAGTCTGTAACATCTCCTTATCAATCAGTAGAAGGTCTCTATCAATCAGTAGAAGGTCTGAAACATCTCCTTATCAATCAGTAGAAGGTCTCTATCAATCAGTAGAAGGTCTGAAACATCCTCCTATCAATCAGTAGAGGGTCTGTAACATCCCTCCATCAATCAGTAGAAGGTCTGTAACATCCTCCTATCAATCAGTAGAAGGAAGTCTGTACCATCCTCCTATCAAGAAATGATGCCGATAACATGTGTGAAACAATTGATTGAAGACTATAAGGTCATGATATGAGCAGAATGATATTCATAACAAGCATCAATCAAAACAGCAGCTCTAACAGTTCTGTATCAGGACACACGCCTGTAACATCGTAGCCGCAGCACATCAATGAGCTGTAGAGAGACCGGCGCTCCGTGACCCGCCAGCACTCACAAGGGCCCTCCAAGCGACGCTTCCTTCTCACGCGGCGCCGCTTCGACAAATGAGCATCGCTGAGCGCTAAAACTTAGATCAAGTACCATTGTTCTGAAAGAGCTGATTAAGTAAGTGTAATGCATGCATAATGATATATTATCACATATTTATCAGCGTTACTATGTCGACAAAATTCCAGGAGGACAAAGTATTATGGAAGAATATATAAATGTACATGAAATGAACTATGGTGCGCAGTCATGCCGGACGCGCTACAGAAATGCTGACGGAAGTCTCAAGGGCTTTACTCTGCGCTTGAGATAAATTAGTGAAGCTTTCAACAGGACGGTGTAACGATCTTTTATAGCCATGGTTTAGCCCTTATACTCACAGAAACTTACGATGATCGTATTGTGTTTGACAATACTTGATTCAGGTTCAAAGTCAAAACTATTACGAGAGATGTTTTCTACTGGGATATAATTGATTCATAGATGTTAGATATATTATTCATTTACGAAAGGTCTTATAATCAATAACTACAATTATTTGTAAACACAACCAAAGTATGTGCCTCAGAAGCCTCAAGGAAGAGTAACATTCTTCTCCTCGGCTCGCGTCAAGTCCCCCAATTTGTCTTCCCCTTCTGGATCCGGCAAGTCGAATTTCACGATCCATTTGAAGGTCTTTAAGCAATTCCATTTCAAAGAAAGTTCATTGGGCGATAATTGGTATGTTTTCCAAGCGCTCCGAAAGAGCGATCAATTATTTGCCATGCCTAAATACCGCCACGGTGACCTCGTCGTAGAAATATCACAGGAGCTTTTTTCGGATAAGTAAAAGTGATGGTGAAGCAGCAGCTATGGCACATTAGGACGCCAGTTCTGGAGGAAGGGTTAACGCTGCCAGTCAACACTTTTCAAAAGATTGTTTGTGCTCGGTAAATTTGTCGCTTTTCTACCTAGCTACAAGTAGCGTCGACCTATATCAGTCGAAGTATCAATACATTTCTTGGTAATAAACTAAACTGAAGGTGTATGTTGACACACTTTTTGCGTGTCTCATTACGAGACTTTCTAGCTGCTCACTTCTGAAGGCCTTCGTTTGCTACATTAACAGAATGCATAAAATTTTACTGCCTTGTGATTACTTCCTTGCTAAAGCATAACGAAGCAGACAAATTGGATTTCATTTAACTTTGGGTAGCGAGCAGTCCTTTTTTATAAGCTCAAGCTGTGGAATTTCCGTTCAAATTTGTAATTATACAATGTGTCATTCACGCTAGCGTAGGTACATAAATTTTAATATATTACATCAATCTCTAAATACAAAATCTAACATTACTTCTTTGTGAAATGTTACAGTTCTTTGCATTCTAGTCTTTACACAGTCTTTGGAATATATTTTAACATTGCGTAGTGTTGTAAAATTAAAAAAATTTCTGAATTAAGTACTGTTATATAGCAATCGTTGAGATCTTAGAAGTTGTAAAATAATTCATAAAATTTTGAAGAAAATGTACTCGCTCCATGTCACAATATCCCTGCACCACTGAAATATCTCCCCGCGCTGAATAGAAATTAAGGTCATTCATGGAGTGTTTGTGACATCATCTCACACGCTGATTGTCACACCCGCTCTGCAACCCTGGAACTGCCCACGCTAAATAAGATTCATGGTGTGTGGGTGACATCAAATTTCACATGTTGCATGTCACACTGGCCTCGCAACGCTGTAACACCCCACGCTGAATCGAAGGTCATTCATGGAGTGTTTATGACATCTCCTCTCACGCTGCATGTCACAGGTCCCCACATCGCTGTAACAACCCACGCTGAATAGGAGGTCGTCAGTAGGACTGTCTGGTCCGTGATGGGGGCGAGATGTGCTTGCATGTGACGGCTGTAGTGGCGGATTGTGTTTACAGAAGACTGACCGAAGGATCTCGCAATCTTGCTGTCTATCCAACAGATCGTGCCATCGATTTATTGAAAGACCGTTGACGGAGGGTAAACAGAGGGGAACGACTCAACCTCCGCACCCCGTCTTTTCTGTCCGTAATACGAAGCGGCCTCACACATGCACCTCCTTTGTGTAACCCGTTACTGTACGCCTTTCCTATCAGGACGTCGGCTGGTGTAGTGTGTAATGAAATCACACAGTTAGGATTCATTATTGATAAGTTATCTTTAATTTCTAAGTTGGTTGAGGCTGATCCTTTATGAGAGCAAATTTTTTAAATGTCATCAAAAAATTTTCGGAATATTTAAGCTGGGCTGCATCTCAAAGTTGAGGTCATGGGTGAATTATGTAATTAAATAAGTTATTTTTACATATATATATGAACCTTTCGGCTACCATCACGATTAACTTAATAAAATTCAACAAGGATTTTAAACCAAATAATAACATGATTGAAGTATGTGTTTTCATTGCGGCTAACTTTACCTAGATGATATTAAAAATTAATTTAATCAATAAAATTAGAAAATTTAGTTTCTAAATTTGCGGAGTTTAAAAATGTAATTCAAGAATCCTCCGAAATTATCCAGCTCACTTTTGTAAGATGTCAGCGGGGTAAGTTCTTATTTTTTGATCTTTTCAATACTGCTCTGAATTATTGGCGTCAATGTTATAACCCTACCCATGCACAATGCCATACAGATTACTGTAGATTGCGAATATTGTGCATTGATTTGCATGCATAGTGTGTCTCTGATCATCGAGTGCAGCAAGTTAATTACTGTGTTGAAAAAGAAACCTGGATTCATTGGGATAAAAGACCCTTTTTCGAACATCAATTTAATAAGAAAAACATGGATGAATGCGTAATATAGAGAACAGTTTTGATTCCGCATCGTGACAATCAATTTCAACCTAAACAATCTTAACAAACACAGCAACCTATTTTTGAACGTTCTTTCAATTTAAAGACAAATAATTGAACCGGTGACTTGACCCGTTAAAATGAACATTATTTCAGCATGTACCTATTCTGTCGCATTAAATATAATGTATAATTAAGGAATTTTTAACTCAGACAATAAAGAACAATACCCCGCAGGCGGAGACTTTTAGCCATCGGAATGCCAAGTGTCGGCTGTGTGTGTTTACTTTTCCTTCTTTACTTCAAAATTTCAAAATTTATAATCGTGCATAGTCCTCTTATAGTCGCGTTATTGTGACCGCTTGAAGGACATATTTTTTTCAAATATCCTGTGTTTCATGGTCTCGAAAATATTAGTTACCCTGCTCTATAATTTTAGGTAATTGCTTCAAGTTCCATTTAATATATGCAGCATTTATTGGTAACAGAAGTAAACCACGCACTGAACTGCATGTCTTCCCATGCATGGCTCAGCAAAATATAGAAAAATCTCATGAATGAATGAGTTTAGTAGAGAACCAACCTTAATTTTCGATCGTAATATGTGCGCTCAAAAAAATTGGTTATCGTAATATCGTGAATTTTTTAGAGTTTTCAGTTCATTTTTTAGGCTTATTAATGTTAATGTATGAACAATGTCATCGACATATCGATGGTTGTAGACGAAGTCTCGCTTTCCTAACATTCTTGAGCTTCTGATAAGACTGAATGTTTACAAATGTGTGTTGTGAAGCTGTTGATCAATGATGTTCAATGCAATACATGTGAAAGCTCGAATGTGAAAGTTTGTTGTGAAAACAAACGGCTGATGTAATGAACAAAATTATATTTAACTGCTGGCAAACTATCGTTGTCATGACAGTTCAGACTGCCATCGCTGCTTGTTAGAGAAAATTTCACACCGAAGCACGACGTATCTCGGACACACGGTAAACACTTTAACGAGCGTTTGTCGAGAGTACCACAAGGACGTGTCGTTCTCAGCACATAACGATATTTGTGGTCTGTCATCAAAACCAACAAAATCTAAAACAAAGTTACCGCTTGTGAACCTTTGCAGTTCACGCTAACAATCCTACAACACACCACAGGGTAAGATGTCATGCATGTTGGCATCAAGATCCTTGAGTGCTTAAATCCTAAATTTATCAAGAATTTAAAAGCAAAGAAACTAGTTACAAATTTAACATTTCACCAGAAAATAGAAATGCATATTATGCTGCCACTGTGGTTACTTCATTCGCTGTTAAACTAAAGAAAAGTATTGATGTTACCGAAGCTTGAGAAACATTTGCCAGAAACAGGCATATCTCAGAAAACTAAGGTGGTAGATGTATCAAAAAATACGGACGGCAGCGATTCAACTGTCGCCCTAAAAACATATTAACTATAAATCTTTATAATAAAATTAATGTGCCAGCTCTTCATTTTGAGGGTACACAGTCCCTCACTGCCCTCGGGCCAGCCGGTTAACGCTTCAAACTTGGCTTACGGTTTGTTCATGCAGCTTAACGGTTTGTGTCCGCAGGTTGATGCTCTTAACTTACAGCCACGGTTTGTGTCCGCAGGTTGATGCTCGGCCAGCCTTCGTCAGCAGGACGTGGTAGCCGCGATGGTCGCGACTCGACAGCAGACGACGATGACGATGACGACCTCATCCACCCCGGCAGCCCCACGACCATGGACGACACGGACGACGAGGACCTCAGCCTCCACTCCCCCCTACGGGAGTGCCCCCCCACCCCTGACGGCGGATGTCCTCCCGACGGCGGCCACACCACCGCCTCGTCACACCACCACCACATCCCCACATCACACTCCTCGTCCTCTCCCACATCCCCCTCCCCCGCGACATCTTTACCCGCACCTCACCCCCCTCTCCCCCCTACCACGTCATCCAGTTCCCCATCTATATCCCCCCACGCAGGGGCTCGTCTTTCCCCTCACCAGCTCTCCCCGACCTCCCTCACACACAGGCCTTCCCCCAGCCCCCCTCAACCCCCCTCCCCCATCACGAGGGGCTTGGCCATCATCAAGTCCGAGCCTCCATCGTCCTTCACCCTCGAGACCATCACTCGGCCGCTGGCCATCCCCCCCGTCACCTCCCTGCCCCTCATGTCCTCCCTGGCCTCCCCTCTGGGGTTTGGCGGCCTCGGCCACCTCCCCTTCTCCTCCGAGGGGTTCAGGTTCCCCCCTCACCCCTTCCTCGCCGCCCACCACCGCCTATTCCATCCCCTGTCCCTCAGCCCACTCCACCACATGAGACGCCCCACTCGCCCACTCCACAACATGAGCTACATCCATGCGCCAACATGAACAACATTAATGTTATAAATACAAAACTTGTTTGCGTTGCAATAAATTGTATAGTCAGAAGTTTATGCAGTTGAGTTCGCGCTTATATCTTTTATCTATAAGTAGTTTACCGCGTGACCATTTGTATATTATTCGTCTTCATTGCAATATCTTATTCATAAGGATAATTTCTATCTATGATGTAGTATGTAGCAAGGCCATAGTGCGTTATTTTGCTCGACTCTTGATATTCGTATTATCTGTATTAATGATGAGACGAGTTGTTGAGATATAAATACCCTACTAATATTTTATCAAACTTGAACTTCTGAGCGCGGAATAACTCGTTTAGAAAAAAATTTCCTAGAAAATTTGAAGGCTCTGAACACTTATTAATAATCATTCACAATTAAATTCACGGAATGGTATGTTTAATTTAGCGCATATAGGAACATGAATATCATCAAATATTAATTTACGGCAATGAATTCATACATGGAACTTGTTCTAAATATAAATAAATTTAAATAAGAAAGAAAGTTGCATACCAAATAAAGTAACTTCTTTCTTGTTTATGAAAGGTTTCTAATCCGCTCTATATCGCATCCTCCTATTTATACCTTAGTAAAAATATGTGATGGTATAGGCGGAAGAGTACTATACATCGAGGCAGTTGGTTTTATTGGTGTGTAGCGCAAGCGCTGCTCATGCCAAGTTCTCGCTACAATTGATTATGCATTTTTAACGGAGGTTGTCGAGTGTCAATTTCCGTTAGGATATTCTGCACGTCATTAATCTGTATTTATAGAAAATTATCAAAAGGAATTATAGATATTGTCGGTGCGCGCAAGGTTGATATTAGCTTACGATCTTTGATGGGTTAACTAACAGTGAACAAATTGATATATTGATATATTGATTAGTTGTCACACGTTAAATAGAGAAGCACTTTTTTTTGCAGGCCTTTCTTTGGCAGCAGGAATAAATCAATTGAAAATGAATGAACATAGTCGTGAATGATGGAGATCCCACACTTCATATAAGAAAAATCTCATACATTTGCTCCCAGTTCGAATATATATTCCAAGTATGATGACTTCATTTCACATTTATATTCCACGGATGATGCCATCACTTTATATATATATATTCTATTACGTGGATGATGCTCTCAACGCCTCTTTAAAGAGTTTAAAGGCGGCACTTGAGAGCCGTCATTGTCACCGAGCATCCAAACTAATATGCGACATGTCACAGTTTTCATCTACCTTTGAACCGTTACAATTATATACCACAATTCAATAGCCGCCAAATGTTTGAGAAAATATGAATAATGAATATTTAGACACAGCAATGGGAACATGAATTTGCTCCTCCTTAATAATTTTTTTGCGGACGATCCTTGGCTATGTTGCCGAAAACTTCATAATGGACAAGAGAACCGCAGTTTCCCGACGCTATAAGGATCTTAATAAGTTTGATAGTAACTCTCAACTGATAACTCAACTCCGTTCTCAGCTTGCGTCCCTCAACATCGTGTCTTACTTAGAAATGGCTACTTACTTTCATTGGAAAAATTATCGAAGGAAAACCAAGATTTGTAACGTTCAATCAATATAAACATTTGATCGCATTGAACAGATATTCGACAAATTATAGATTGACATCTGTTTATTTAATTAATAGAAATAATGCAGTCACGACATTTTTTCATGCAATTCCCGTTCATTTTATAAAAGTATCATACCTTCTACCATGGGTTTAATTTAATTCAAAATCGGATTGTTATCGATATGCGATTTTAGAATTAAGATTGAGATCCTGATTATTAATTTATAAGTACATTAAACAGTCTTATTAGCAAGATTTTTTCAATTATATAAAAGCTTACGAAAAATATGATGTAAAACTGGAACTAAGTTCAGTGCATCCCAGAATTTATTTATTTACTTGCACTGGTTTGCACAAATTCGGCGTTTTCTAGGGTTTGAAGACAATATTTCACTGAAGTTAAAAATTTAAAACCATATTTCTGTTACGTTAATTCATAAGTTAACGCTTGTGCGTTCAAACACAAACTACAAACACAGACTCGAAACAATGACATGTACGATCGTCGATGAACATCCGATCGTCGTAAAGATATTTTCTTGTATGTTGCTCTGATTTAGATTCTGATTTAAATTCATCTTATGCTGAACATTGTATCCAGACGCCTGACTATGAGCTAATAATTCAGGAAATGAGATCCAATTTGCGGTTCACTACGCATCAAATGTCACATAACTCGAGCATTTTGCTGGCTAATTTCGAACATAAAGTAGAAATGTAAATAAAAACATTGTATATTAATGAGAATAACTAATTTAAAGTTCTATTATCTCGAGAAGTTTGCTCCTCTGATAGTGTTTGATAGTGTGAACATTGTTTGTACATTTGTTTAGTATAATTTCCTTGTCAATAAACGATGCCCTGTTACAAAATAAAGTTTTTACTCCTTTTCATCGAAAAAAATAGAATAATTTGGCTTTGAATGAAATAGTGAGCTGTTGCATTCATTTATATGCAGCGTGTGTTAAGTTATCGATATATTGTTGTGAAAATTAATTATTTATAATTGAGAACATGAAAATATAAGGCGTATTCATTCAATAAAATAAAAGTTATTTCGTTGATATAAGGCGTATTCAACTTGAATCTAAAACGAAAATTAATATTATAAAAACAAATTAAATTGTTGAAAATTTTACAATATATTCTATACCGAATGTATCCTCGTCTCTAATCTGAAGAAAAATTCCATTAATTATACAGGATTATTCTAAACGATGGACCTAATGTAATAAATTCGTAATTATTTGATTAAAAATTCAAAATGAATAATTAATACACCAGGGTAAAGAAAAAGATTTAAGTTTTTTTTACATATTTATAAATGTTCAATATGTCCCCCTTGTGTTGCACGGCAAACATCTAAAGTAAACGGTACCCAAACTCGTCTCACACACGAGAAAGACTATCTTCTGTTACTGAGTAAGCAACTTAATTTATAAATAAGTAAAATAAGTTAATTTAGAAATAAAAAAAAACTTTCAACCTTTTTCTTTCTACTGTTGTATAAATTATTGATTTGGAATTTATAATTAAATAAATACGACTTTTATATTAGGTCCATCATTTACATAAACCCGTAATATTTATTTGTGGAAACTCGTAAACAAATGTCAGCAACTATTGATTTTTTGGACAATTCTATTTGTTTGGTATGCTAGAAAAAAATTACGGTGCAAAAGAATAATAACGAAGCTGTTATATTATAACACGTTGACTCAAATAAGAAGTTTAAGAATTAATGTCCCGTTCAATTGAAATTTAAGCTTCAGTCTCGCTCTGTGTCTTGAACTGCATCGGTAACCTCGCGAGAGCCTTGCAGCTGCAGCTGATGGGGGCGAGAGACGTCGATGATGGGAGAAATAATCAATCCTGATGGAGGCGAAAAGCATCGATGATGGGCGCATGAAGCAATGATGATGGAGGCGAAAGGCATCAATGATGGGAGCAAGAAGCAATGACGATGTAGGCGAAAAGCACCGATGATGAGAGCAGCAGGAAGCATCACTGATGGGGGAGAGATGCAGCGCTGATGTACGATATGCTCAATAATTTCCTGAATCTGATAATGCCCCCTGCAGCAAATTTCTGTATAGGCAGTGGACATCAGGATAATTTTACTCGTTATAATCACTACAAATTTCATTCATTTTAATTTGCAGTTCGTATGAAGTATAAGTTACAGTTACAGCTGCACGCGTCTTAGAGAACTGCAAGTTGTGGCCTCGCTGGTTTTGGTGCTGAGCTTCAGCTACCGTATAGTGACGCTCCAAAAGAATTGCTTCTAATTTCAGTTCATGCAATAGTTAGCGGAAATATAATGGTGAATTCATGTTCCACGAGAGTATTTTAGCACTTTTAACTTATTTATTAGCTGCTAGAGATCCAGTGCCGTGAGTAATATCGAGTGTCATGCCTAGATACTAGTTTGTATTTACGATCACCATCACTCAAACAATAGACATTCAGGGTTTCAAATAAACCTATCCATTATGCACATTATATCGCATACTCAATGCGTTTTACCATTGTCATTATTCATCATCAATAACATAAAATTAAATAAACATGATGCAAGAAATCAAACAAGGAACCTACATTGTAAAGAGAAATTTAAGTAAGTGCACGCTTGAAGATTGCGGGCATCTTATCTCTCATCAGCCGAAGAAGCATGCGTGGTTCGCAGTCACTTGTGTTTTCATTCGCATTTATTTGCATGCATTAGAGCTCGTATTTGTATTCGTATAACGGATGTGGTCATGCACACACGTTAACGCGTGACACATCGCTGTGTATCTCTTAACACAGCTGTATGTGCTAAGTCGTAGCCTAGATTCTTATTGATGAACTAATACGATCAAGTAACGCACAACAGAAATTTGTACAAGTGAATGTTCCAAGGCTGATTTCACCTCCGCAAGGCGCAGCTTTTTGTGAAGCCGGAACCCTCAAGATTTGGAGCAGGAGTTCCCGAGCTTTTTTTAGCCATATTTTGTGCATTCAGGTATATTGTTTCATTAGACATTATGTGTCTTTAGACATATTGTGTCTTTAGACATATTGTGTCTTTAAACATATTGTGTCTTTAGACATCTTTAGACATATTGTGTCTTTAGACATATTGTGTCTTTAGACATATTGTGTCTTTAGACATATTGTGTCTTTAGACATATTGTGTCCTCTGTTCCATCACGCACTGCATTTGCGCATTGTATGAACGTGGAAACAACGTATCCAAGATGTGCTAGCGTTACAACTGACGCGAATTATCTGCCAATGCTCGACAAACAAGACGCTTGGTCAACTGCGCCGTCCTAACAAAACTCGTCGTCTCTGTGTGTGAGCAGGAGCGTCTTGTCTCAATCTCAGGGGCGCAATCAGTCTAAGTGAATGAGTGAGGCAGCCGCTGT